AAAAAGAAGAAGAAAAAGAAGAGGAAGGCCACTGGAGAGTAGGTATGGGTTAACCCTCCTGGTGGGCTACATGTACAATCCGGGAGGGCAGGATTGTGCCAGGATATGAGATTTCTGATGAAGTTAGGAGCCTTGTATGGGGGTTTGTGGCTGGACCATGTGACTCTCCCTTAAGTGGTGTGGTGTCCCAGGGTGTGGATGGGGGTTGCCCTTTCACAGTCTGTCTCCTGTGTATATTTAGGGTGAGGGTTGCAGCAGTGGCTAAGTATGACAGTGACGTGCAGAAGAGATGAGAGTTTGCCGAGGGTGTGTAGTTGGGTGTGTTCACCCTGAAGCTGTGTGTCCTTGAAAGCTGGGATGTGTGCTGTGTGCTTGTCACTTAAAGACAGAAGTCTGCGGTGTGCACATCCACCTGAGTGGGGCTCATCTGGGGTGTGGCCGTGGTGAGCTGGGAATTGGGGGGATCTCTATTGATTGACCCATCCTGATACTGTCTTCTCTTCCCTAGACGTTCATCTTCACTGACAGCCCAGACAAAAGCCTCCAGGAGAGACTGGGTAACTGCCTGACTGGGGTGGTCCCCTGATGTTGCCAGGGAAATCTGGGTGGTTGTGATGTGGCTTGGGGGTCCCCAGGACTAGGACTCCCTACCTTTGGCATCAGGGATTCCCCGATGCTTAGGAGGGGAGCAGTTATGTGAGGGCGGCTGGACAAGGCCCTGGATCTGGGACCCAGCTCAGCCCGCTGCCCCAGTTTCCCCATAGTAAATGAGGTGGGTTAGTCCTTCCAGGCTGTCTGAGGCCCAGCCTTGCCTTGTGTTCCCTGGGGTCAGGGCTGTGAGGAGGAGCTGGGCAGGCCCCCTCACTGCTCCACATATCTCCAGGGTCCCACCTTGTAGTAACCAACTGTTCTGTGGAGCACAGCCACCTGGCTCTGTCCTGCAAGATGGCTGCAGAGTTCGACGCCTTCTTGGCCAGTGGGCTCAGGTGGGTGTTGCCAAACCACTGGGGCAGAAGTGACCTTTGCCTCAAGCTATGCCTTTTTTAAAAAATATTTTATTATTTTTATTTTATGTGTATAAGTGTATTGCCTGCATGTATGTGAGCGCACCTGTGTCGTGCAATGCCGCGGAGGTCAGAAGAGGGCTTTGGATTCCCCTGGAACTGGAGTTAAGGATGGTTCGTAGCCACCATGTGGGTGCTGGGAATTGAACTTGAGTCCTCTGCAAGAGCAGTCAGTGCTCTTAACCACTGAACCACCTCTCTAGCCCCTCAAGCTACCTCTTTTATTTAAACTTTTTCAAAGTTACATTTTTGTATATGTGTTGTTTAGGCTTGGTGGCAGGCTCCTTTACCTGCTGATCCATCTTGCTGGCCTTCAGGCCACCTCTTGAGTTTTGTCAAAAAAGTGAGTTGGGGGAGATGGCTAAGTTGGCAAAGCCCTAAACTATGCATGAGGACCTGAGTTTGATCCCTAACACCCATATACCTGGAGGCATATGCCTGTAATTCCATCACTGAGAGGTAAAGACAAGCAGATTCCAGGGGCTTACTGGCTAGTTAGCCTGTCCTAAGTGGAGAGTCCCAGGTCCCAGTGAGAGATCTTATCTTAAAAAACAATGTGGATGGTGCCTGAGGGGGAACTATACCTAAGGCTGGCCTCTGGCCTTTGCACAAATGTGCACATGTGTACCTGCATACACATATATAGACATGTATACCCCAGCACACCCTTCTCCCCCAAAGTAAGTGTCCTGGACCCAGTTAAGGGATCCTGCGGCCTCCTGGAGTCTGACTTACCCCTTCTCACGCAGTAGGCAGGGAGGTAAACCACCTGTGGTCAAATTTTGTCACTGGCTCTGGTGGCCTTGGCCAGTGTCTTAGCGTCAAAGTCTTTGTTCAACCTACAGCTGTTGACTGTGGGGGCCCAGGAACACTACAAGCTCACTCTCACCCCATCCTCACAGGTGGTTCTGTCACGTGGATGACGACAACTATGTGAACCCCAGGGCACTGCTGCAGCTGCTAAGAGACTTCCCACAGACCCGTGACATCTATGTGGGCAAGCCTAGCCTGAACCGGCCCATCCACGCCTCTGAGCCACAGTCACAGAACCGCACGGTCTGTCCCACTCTTCCTCTATCACCAACTGCCTGCTACTCCCAGGGGCGGGGCCTGCCCCAGAGGCGGGACAATAAAGAATCTGGTTGGGATGTCTGTGGGTTTGGGCTGGTGGCCCAGAGACTATTGCATAGTAAGGCCTAGGTCACTCAGGGGCAGTGGCTTGGCTTAGCCACACAGTAAAGTACCCTGGTCGCCAGGCTTTCCTGGCTTCATGACCAGGCTCCCAGCTACCTGGTGTCTCCACAGAGTTGTGCAGACTGTTAAAATACACAGTACCAGGGTTGGGGATTTAGCTCAGTGGTAGAGCGCTTGCCTTCCAAAAAAAGAAAAAAAGAAAAGAAAAAAAGAAGAAAAAGAAAACACACAGTAGCAGGCTGGGGATGAAGCCCGGCTGGTAGAGTGCTCGCCTAGCATTCATGAAGCCCTGTGTTGGCTCCTCAGCACTGTAACATCTGGGCATCGTGCTGCATACCTGTAATCTACCAATGGGGAGCCTGAGGCACTTGCCACCAGTTCAAGGCCAGCCTGGGTTACACAGTGAGTTCCCAGACTTGCCTGGGTTATAGAGGAGACTGTCTTAAAACTAAAAAATACTGTAGATCAGGTGAGAAATCATGTGGTATTTTTAGAGCTGTAGAACATTCTCATGGCCTTCCCCTAAACCTTCCCACTACCCAGTCATTGAAGCATGGATCTTTGAAGCAAGGGCCCCCAGAGCTAGCTTTGCTGCAGACCCCACTGACAGTCATAGGATTGCTAGGTTAGAAAACAAAACTCAGGAGACACCTAATTCAATCGGACTTCAGATAAGTAATGACAATTTAGTATGGTCCCCAAATTGCATGGCTCTTCTGATGCCCCCAGTGCTACCTGGTTTCTGGTGCTCAGGTGGCCCAAGCCCCTTAGGCTCTCTTAGCCCCTGGGTGGAGGGAAGGCAGGGAGCACCCCTCTGGGGAGGCTGGCTTGGAATGGCCACTTGGGGCTCCCCCTCCCTGCCCAGGTCACCATCTGCTGCTCTGGGGAATCTAGAGCCTTAATTATCAGCAGCTCATCAGCAGCTGAGCCCTAATTAAATCCTCCTGGGCCCTGGGGCCTGTGCATGTGGGTGACCCCAGGTGAGCAGAGGGATGGCCCCAAGCTCCTCTGGGGCTTCCACCCCAGCTGCCCACCCAGCTTGAGAACGCTAGGCTGGAGCCCGCTTCCCTGGGTTCACACGCCAGCACTGCCACTCCTGGCCTGGTGACCCTGATTGAAGTTACCTAACCTTTTTGTGCCTCAGTTTCCTCAACTGTGGAACAGGTGACAGCAGCTCTTATTCACAGGGTGGCTGTGGTCAAAGGAGAATCAGGCGGTGGCATCTGTCAGAGTCCTTGAACTGGCTGCTGGGTGAACAACACCGGGCTTTTCCCAGCTATGTGTTCCCAGGGCAGTTCAGTGCCCAAGTGGGCATACCTAGACCCGGTCCCTAACAGTGTGTACAATGGTCTTATTGGCATATACTTCCAAAGTGGGATCCTCAACTTTGCTTGGGAATGTTCTAGAATTGCAGAGCACCAAGGCTTATGCAGAGCCTGGAGTTCCTAACGGTGGTTCAGCAAAGGGAGCAACAGCTCTGGCCAGGGGCAGGTTTCTGTTCTGGGCCCTGAGTGACGTCACTTATTTGTGTCTTAGTTACCATGTTGGGGCACAGCCCTTAGCACAGGGCACAGAGAGCAGTCAGGACAAGGTGTTGACAGAGCTGCTGCTGCTATAACTGTAATCACCTGTCAGTGGTAATTAAAACAAAAAACCCAGAAATAACCCAAGTATTTATTGGGCACCTCCTGCATGCTGGATCCTCATGAGCCATTTGTTCTGTTTTGTAGAGCACTGAGCTTTCTCTAAAGGACAACAGTTGTGGAAGTAAACTAGAAAGGCCGTTAGGGCCAGGGACCTCAGACTCAGCCTTCCTCATTGCCCTCCAGAGCTCTTTTCATAGTGGCATCACGGGTGATAACTCAGCCTAATACAAGATGCATTAATTAAACATCAACTGTGGACTTGGAGGAAGGTAGCCGATGGAGAGATCTAGACCAAGAGATGGAACAGCAGAGGGGAGAGTTCTCCAAAAGTTTTGGAGAACCCATGGGTGAATTCAGGATCCTCAAAGAGGAGCAGAGAAGAAGCCTGGGTCGAGAGAAGGTGCTGGAGGGGTCAGAGAGTGACTTTGCTCTAGAAGGGATCCTACAGGTGGCCCTGTCCTTTATCTATGGAAAAACCTTTCTTGGTCTCAGGAATTGGGAGTTGGCGAAGCCAGGGCAGGAGGCCTGGTGTAGGTGGATATTGCTCCTCAGTTTGGTGACCCTGTGTGTAGCACCCCTTCCTCATGGTACACCTGTAGCACTCTGAGAAGGGCTCTGACTGACTGGCCTAAGTCATGTGCCTATTCTTGAGCTAATATTTGGATCAAAGGGCCCAGGGGAGCAGATGCTGGGTTCCTCCTCTCAAAGAAAGAGGATAAAATAGCACATGTCTCCTCCCCATTCCTAGTTAGCAACGTGACTTTGGGCCCTGGCTCCTGATCTGCAAAGTGGGCACACTAAGGCCAGACTTAAGCCTCCATGAGATGTGCTGTAAAGAGCTTTGGGGACATGCTGATTGGGGGTAAAGCCTAGTAGTCTGGCTGTGCCCCCCTCAACCCTCCAGGCTCACTCCATACCTTGGCTCTCCTCTCTCCAGAGGCTGGTACGATTCTGGTTTGCCACAGGGGGCGCTGGCTTCTGCATCAACCGCAAACTGGCTTTGAAGATGGTTCCATGGGCCAGGTAAGCAGAGATGAGGCCCAGGGATGGCCGGATATCAGAGGGGCTGTGGTGTACAGGGGACAGGAGGAGTGAGAGGGTGGCAGGGGAAACTGCCTCCTATTCACTCATGTTAGGGTAGCCGGATCTGTGGTGAGCAAGTCACTGCTACCAGCCCTCTGGGGTGCATGGTCCAGTGCACTCTGCCTCACACAGATAGATCTCCGGGAGCCTCAGTTTCTCCATGTGTAAATAGAACTGAAAATACAATAGCTAATGGCTTGTAAGGGTTTAACGGGAAGATGTCCAGGCTGGCACCTGCTGGGAGCCAGGCAAAACGCTAGGCTCTTTGTAGCCTTTTCCTTGAATGTCAAGCGTAGGTGCTATCAGAGGAAGGAGAAGGGCCTGTTTGGAGACACAGTTGGCCTGAAACCCCACAGGGAAGGGATCCCGGGGGGCGGGGGCGGGGAGTGCAGTGACAGCAGGCGACACAGCCATTCCACAAATGGCTGAGCCTGGCCTCTTGAGGTCTTCCTGGGCTGGCGTCAGTGGTCTTGAACTTACATGGATCACCAACCCTGAGTAAGGCTGTGCTTCACCTAGAGGGCGCCAACCGCTGAGAGGAAAGATGGCCTCACATCTCACATCATTTCACAGCTCTCTAGCTGTGGAAACTGAGAGGTCAAGCAAGCCTAAGGTCACCCAAGTTCAAGGTCACACAGCTGCCCAGTTTGGTTCCATGTCCTACATGCTTGGCCACTGACCCAGTCTACCCCCTCTTGCCCAAGGAGAGAAGAGTTCCCCAAGGGATTCATGTCAGAGTGACAGTAGGCATGCTTTGCTGTCCCTCAGGCAAGTCCACAGCAGGCATGTCCCTGTGACCAGGGTTCAATCCCCATGACCAGGGTGCCCCATGGGGGCTCTGGCCACTTCTGTGGTACCCATTCTCACCCAAAAGAGGCAGCTGGGGGACACAGCCTGGATTTCTGGCCAGGTGTCCCAGGAAGGGGCATTGTTGGCCCTGTGCAGTCAGTGATATTTTTCCCTGGCACACTGGCTGATACCACTGTAAGCCTCTGGAAAGCTCACCTTGTTTCTCCAGGCCTTGCACACCAGGGACTTCCCTCTGACTTGGCCCCAGTCCTAGTCCTTGGAAGGCAGGGAGCTCTTATTTCTCATGCCTGGGTCCTCAGCCCTAGCATGGTACATGAGGGCAGGAGGTTGTCAAGCCCAGTGGTGAATCCATGAACATTGAATGCAGGAGAGAACTGAATGAATGAAGGGCTCCTCACCATTTTTCCACCAAATTCTTCCAGGATCTTGGGGAAGCAGGGCCATTGTGAGCCCATTTTCCAGAGGAGGAGACTGAGGTCCTCCAGGTTCTTGACTGGCCTGATGTCCTAGTGCAGTCTGCTGGCCCAGTGAGGTGGGAGAGGGCACAGGTATGTAGGGCCTGAGTCAGTGGCCACTGACTAGCTCTGTCCCACAGCGGCTCCCACTTTGTGGACACGTCAGCTCTCATCCGGCTCCCCGATGACTGCACGGTGGGCTACATCATCGAGTGCAAGCTAGGGGGCCGCCTGCAACCCAGCCCTCTCTTCCATTCACACCTGGAGACCCTGCAGCTGTTGGAGGCTGCTCAGCTCCTGGAGCAGGTAAGCCAGTCACAGGGCAGAGGGTGGGGAGGAAGGATTCCCCCAGAGGAACATGGGATATTTGAAATTAGCATGGAATTAGAGATTATGAGGCCTGGCTGTCCCATGTTGATGAGAAAACTGAGACCCAGATTAGAAGACAGTGGCTCAGGCCTCCCCCAACTAACCCTCTGATCTGGGAGGACCACCCAGGAATAGAAGGTGCCCTGAGGGCCTATCCCTGCTCCCCAGCTCCTGTCCCACCCTTCTCTCCACTTTGAATCCTTCACCTCCACATCCCCAAGTGAAGGAACCTGGTGAGAGGCTGTGTGGCCCTTTCACAACACTCCCATCCTGTGAGGCTCTTCCTTCACAAGAACCTTCCTGCTTCTGTTCTGGATGAATAGGTCCCTAACCCACCAGGCAGCTCATACTCTGCTCCTGGGACAAACAAGGTTGGCTTTGTAGACCTGCCTGCCAGCCCCACAGATCCCGGGATACCTGGGATTTTCTGCCCTGCAGAGTCAGAACCTTTGGGATGTAAGTGATCAAAACTCACCTGGAATTGGTTAACAAGGAGAGACCATGTCAGCACTGAACGGAGAAGCCAGAGCCTGGTGTTAAGAAGGGGCTGAGTCTCCTCTCCCCTCACAGGTGGCTCAGTCCTTGGAATGACAGGCTGCCAGCCCAAGGTCTCCAGCCACCGTGGGGAGACAGTTCTCCAACCCCCAAAGCCCAGCTGATGGCCTGGCTTAGAACCAGGGTGTGGGGTTCACCCATTAGGACCATAGTGCTGGAAACCAGGAAAGGGAGACAAGTTTGGGGCAGCCAGAAGCAGGCACCTAATGGTCAGCACTTCTTGACCGCCCACACACCTGGCAGCATCCCGGGCCTTACCCTCATTGCCCTGCTTCTGCCAGTAGTGGAGTGGTATTAACACAGGTGCATCTTGGTATCCACAGCAAGCACTTCCAGGACCCCGGGGAAACCCAAACCCTCGGCTGCTCCAGTCCCTGTGTAAAACTGTGGGATTTGGTGTAGCCCACACACTCCCTCCCACATTCATTAAATCTGCTCTAAGTTATTTATGATGCCTAATAGTTTAGAAATACTCAGTAAAATTTCACACTATATTGTTTAGGGATTAAATGAGAAGAGAAAAAAAAATCTGTGTACAGCACAGATGCGGTTTGTTGTTGGGGTATTTTTGACTCATGGGTGGTTGGATCTGCAGATGTGGAAGCTGTGGATATAGAGGGTCAACTACAGGGCTTGGATGTTGCTCAGTGGGTAGAGCGCTTGTCTAGCATACATAAAACCCTGGATTCAATCCTCAGCACTGCAGAAACTGGGTGTGGTGGTACGTCTGTAATGCCAGCATGTAAAGGTGGAGGCAGGAGGATCAGAAGTTCCAACCCCTGTCTGAAAAACAAATAAAATCTCTGAAGGCCCATCACAAACATCATCCCCTTTCTACGATGTGAAAATGGAAGTTCAGAAAGCTAGGCTAACTGTGGCACACAGCTAATGTAGTCAGGGGGGATTTTTAAACCCTGGTGGCCCCCAAGCCCCAAGTCTAGCCACTGTATGTGTCTGCCTCTTGGCTGAAGTCACCATCTCATGTAGTCTGGGCGTGGTGTAGCCCAGGCTCTGAGTGGAGTGGACTGACCAAGGGCCATAGAGAATGTCGGAAACCTTCTGGGTGGCCCTGGCACTGAGTTGATGAAAAAGCCCTTAAGAGCCCGGAAGGAGAAGGGTGTCTCCAGCCTCCTAGGGAAACAGAGCTGTTGGGGGCAAATGGAGCAGGAATGAGCCCTACAGGCTGCAGAGCACCTTTGCGGGGGGCAGCCTTCTTGTGAACGCCCCCCTCCCGCCACCTGCGGCTAATGGAAGGTTGATGACACCTCAGGCCTCTCAAAATCTCTGCTAGTACTAAAATTCTGCCCCCTTGTGGACAGCCCCAGTCCAACAGCCTCTAATACATTTCCTTACTTCCCGCCTAGGTCACCCTCAGCTATGGTGTCTTTGAGGGGAAACTGAACATCATCAAGCTTCAAGGCCCCTTCTCCCTTGAAGAGGATCCCTCCAGGTGGGTGTGGTGTTGAAACTTCAGGATGGGGATGGGGGCTGAGCTCAGGCACCCAGACAGGGGGGAGCTTTAAGGGAGAACAGCGTACCATAGGCCCTGGTGACTGACCAAACAGCTGAGGGTGGAGAGAGTAAATTTCAGTTCATGGGTTCCTACTGGCTTGTTGTGTGACCTTGGACAAGTGTCTTGCCCTCTCTGGGCTTCAGTCCTCTGTTGTACTGGAACCCAGGACTCATGGCTCTTCCAAGAGTCCTGGGGCCAGAGCTGTGAGAAACAAGGCCCTAAATTCAAATTTGCAAGAGGAAAGGAGCTGCCTTTTAATGGAATGAGCTGTCCGTCAGTGGAGGTGTGCAAGCTAAAGCTACACTGGTAGTTGATGCTAAATTTCCTGGATGCCTGAAGATTTTAGAACCTAGCTGTGGGCTCTAGGTGCCTTTTCTGCCTTTCAAGGTATCTCAGAGGAGAGGTTCTCAGATCAGGGGTGATTCTGCTATTGACTAGAGACATTTCTGAAAACTCCATTTTGGCATCCTGCTCCTTCTCCTGGGAAGAGGCTAGGGAATGCTAGCCACCGTCCTGGCCGGCACAGGATCGCCCCACGTGACAGAGTTCACAATGCCGGCTCCAGTGGAGCCGTGTCCTCCAGGAGCCCGTGGCCAGGGAGGACTGGGTGACCATCTCCCTTTGCTGGTCTCTCTGCAGGTTTCGCTCCCTCCACTGTCTCCTCTACCCAGACACACCCTGGTGCCCACCGCTGGTGGCACAGTGAGCTCTGAACTACTGCAGAGGCTGATCGAGGCTTCTTCCAGTCCCCCCATCTCCTGGGTAGCCCCAGGGGTTCCAGGCCAAGTGCCCACTGGCAAATGAACCCCTGGCTGGGTCTCTGGGTGGTGGAAAGGCCAGGATCTTTACAGTGGCTGGTCTGAAGATGTCTCAGGCCCGGGGACCTGGTCACAGCCACAGAAGCTATGGGGACACTTGAGCTAGGCAGGGTCTCAGGGTTCTCACCCTCTAGAGAGTGACATACTTCCTGAATAGGGTCTGGCTCCTTAGCTCTGGCCTCAGACATTCCCTGGGAGCTGGAGACATCAGGGCAAAACCGGGAAAATCCTTAGCCTCCTGTGACCCGCTGTTATGCTAACTGGTCTCAGCTGCTCCTGGCTTTCCATGCCTGGCTGACAGACCTAGACTTTGAAGCCTCAGCGTGCTCAGATACAGAGAATGAACCTTTGGTTCCTTTTCCCAGCCTCCTTTGCTGTGAGGAGCTACTGAAGGACCCAGCTCTGTCTAGTGGGAACTAAGCAAAGCCAATGGAGAAGCTTTTGGGGTGGATTTCATAGCCCAGACCTTGTCTTCCTGCTGTGAATGTGGGTGTGATGGCTGGATCTGGGGAAGCCACTTGCCACTGTGAAGGAAAGGTTAAGACAATCATCTACAGCTGTCCCTTTTAGCGTCTGGCCCGTAAGAAATTAAACCTCTATTTAAGTCTCTCTCGGTTTAGATTTGTGCTACAGGCAGCCACTGTTCCTCACTGGAGCAGGGTCTCCCATCAGTGGGGATGGCTACTTGTGGTGGTGTGATACAGTGCATGGCTCAGAGCCTGACATGGGGAGAGGAAGGGTTTGGTGAGCAAGGACTGGGAGCTGGGCATGTGTCTTGGGAATCAGGTGACGTGTGTGAAGGGGGGGTATTTGTGACATGCACACGTGTGTGTGTGCTCTGAGGTGCTACAGTGCTGGAAGTCTGTCTTCCTTTCCCTGCCCTCAGGCATGGACTGATGATTCTATGAGTCAGAGAAAGGGGAGGCTGGAATGGTGGAGACTTTCAGGCAAAGAGGCACACAGGTGGGTGATGGTAGGGGACCTGTACAGAGCCTAGTGATGTGGAGTCAGGGCTATGGTGGGGTTCTAGAATAGGGGAGGCTAGAGAGGGCCTGAACCAGGCTACCAGGGTCCAGGACTCCTTGGAACCTGCCCTTCACCCTTAAAGGCTCAGAATGCTTCCAGGATGTCTATGTGGCATGTTGGATGCCACCAGGTACCTGGGTCTCAGTTCTTGAGCAACCTTACTATATACAGAGCCCGGATGGCATGATCCCTTCAGAAGCTGCTGCCACCCTGGCTGACTTAACGTGAGTAGGAGGCTGTTGGAGCCAGGGCAGCCCCCAGCCCTGCAGCCCAGAGCTGACTGGAGAGTAGAGCTGGCACTGTCCATAGCCACTGTCCCTCTCATGCGGCAGGCTGCTGGTTGGCTGCTGCTTTTAGAAGCTGCAACAGGTTTTCGGGTTATTCTCAGATCCTGAGGGTCGGGTGGAGGGAGGAGGACTCCTACCATCTGCTGCCTCCATTGTCAGGATTGCTCAGTAGGGAAAGGATCTGAGGCAGCAGGGTCTACGTGAGCAGGGAGTGTGGCTTAACCCTCTGTGCTCTATGTTCGCAGTTTGCAAGTTGCCTGACCCCAAGCTGCTGAGGGATCCATCTGAGCCCAGGGGCAAAGGCCAGGAGTGGGTTAGGGTAGGGCACCCTGTCATGGCCTTGCCTGACCTGCAGTCTCTGTATCTGTGACTTGGCCTGTTGAGCCCAGCCTCCCCACCCTAGGGTGCTCAGAGCTGAAATGAATTCAGGGCTATAGTGGTGGCTGACTATTGGACCATGATAAGGGGAATGGAGGGGATGCCGTGGCCTGGGGCAGGTATTAGATGGGGCCTGAGTTTCTCCAGCCAGCCAGGAGCCAGCAAGGACCCAAAGGGGCTTAGTCCCCAGCCACACTACACCTTCCTTGATTCAGCCCAGTGCAGGATGGATGCAATGGATGAGGAACCTGGGAGGCTGGTGACTGAGTGCCTCAGTGTTGCCTTCTTGAGGACACAGAGGCCACCAGTGGCTCAAAGCTGATCAGAGGCCAGCATGAGATACTGCCTGCTGGGCTCTCGTCTCTTTTCTTTAGACAGGGTCTCAAGTAGCCCAGGATTGTCTTGAACCCATTATGTAGCTGAGGCTGGCCTTGAAATTCTGATCTTCCTGTTAGTGCTAGGGTTATAGGTATGTACCCCCATGTCCAGTTTATGGAGGAGGAGAGAGGCCTATGACTAGGGAGGCCCTGTGGCTGGAAGGGCCCCAACTCAGGTTGCCAAGGGTTTGGGGCTCCTTGGAACACACCCCTCACCCTTGAAGGCCCAGAATGCTCCTAGCATGTCTGTACCTGACATGTTGACCCAGGAAGTTGGGGGTCAAACCCAGGACTTCGTGCGTGCTAGGCAAGCACTCTAGCAACTGAGCCACATCTCCAGGCCCCCGCTCCTCAGGCTGTTCTAAGCACTTGACATAAACCAGGGCATTTCAAGTTCACCTGTTTGAAGCAGAGACTGTTCCCATTTATAGATTAGGAAACTGAGGTATGGGGTGGAGAAGGGTTTTTTGGTGTCAGATCCTAGGTTTGAGGCAACCTGGCCTGTGGAAGTTGCTTTACTGTGGGGTGATTTGGGAGGATGGGAGTGAGGCTCTGCAGGCCTGGGCCCCACTCTCCTGCTCTCCCTGGGGCCTTGGAAAGGTGGCCTCATGGCTCATTAACTGCCACCCCTAGGTGAAGTAGGCACAATGACACCCCCTCAGGCTCTGCTCCTACGCAGCACAGATGCTCAGTAGATGCCTCTCTAGCCCTCCTTGAACCCTCACTCTCAGTAGCAAGGGGTGGCAGAGGACTGAACTAGCCTCCTTCAGTCTGCTGGCCCAGGTTCCCATCATAGCAGATCTGCAGCTCTGAAAACCCTTGACCTTGTGTACTGTCTCACTCAGGGCTCCTCTGTGCATCCCTCCCTGTCCCATCGGCCCCTCTCTCCCCTTGTAGAGAGGCCTTCATTGGTCCCCATACAGCAGCATCCATTTGCTGTGGATCCCTTGTCCTGTGGTGACTGCACTTCTCAAGCTTACCATGTCTCTTTGTATGTGTGTGTGTTTGTGTATATGCAGGCTCTTGTGTGTATGCAGGTACATGTGTATTTGTATGCAGGCACACGTGTGTTTGTATGTATGCATGTATATGCATGTGTGTTTGTGCATATGAAGATACATGTATTTGTATGTATGTAGGTGTGTGTGTTTGTGTGTATGTAGGTATATGTGTGTTTGTGTGTATGCAACTACATGTGTGTGTATGCATGCAGGTACATATATGTGTATGTGTTTGTGGTTATGTAGGTGCATGTGTGTGTGCATGTATGTGTGTGCACGTGCATGTATGTGTGCGTGTGTGAGGGTCAGAGGCAGGCTGGGCTCCATCTCACAGAGATCTGCCTGCCTCTGTCTCCCAAGTGCTGGGATTAAAGGCATGTGCCACCACGCCTGGCTCCTTTTGATTTTTTTTTTTTAAAACTAGCTAGGTATTATTTATCTTTTGCATCCTAATTTGGCTGGGCTGACTGGCCATCAAGCCCCAGGGATCATCTGCCTCTGCTTCCCCAGTGCTGGGATTACAGGGGTGGGTGCTATTCCCAGCTTTCTGATATGGATGCTGGGGGTAGGCTCAGCTTTTTTTTTTTTTTTTTTTTTTTTTTTTTTTTTTTTTTTGAAATAGCTCTGGCTGGTCTGGAACTTGCTATGTAGACTAGGCTGGCCTCAAACTCAGAAGTCCACCTGCTCTGCCTCCCAGGTGCTGGGATTAAAGGCGTGTCACTACACCCTCTCCCAGCTTTGTTATGAGTGCTGGGGATTGAACTCAGGTGCTTGTTCTTGCAAGGCGAGCACTTCAGTAGCTGAGCCAATGCCTCCTGCTGGTATTGGCTTACTTCAGTGTTGGTTTGATGTTCCCTCACCTGAGGTGGCCCTAGCATCCCAGGGGGCCTGTCAGCCCTATTCCCTGCAGCTCACGGCCATGGCAGATGCTTAAGAATATCTGAGGGTTGGATGGAGAAAAAGGCAAATGGGTTTCTCACATCCCTCAGCTCTGATGGCCACAGTATGAGATCCTAAGAAAGGGGCCCACACCAATACAACATGTGATGGGGTGAGGACTTTATAATGGACCAGCTTGGCCATGCTAGAAGCCACCAGTCATTCTTGGCACCCTCAAATGTGCTGCAGGTGTGATCAGACATGAGGCCCAGCACTGCCCATAAGTTGCTCACCACAGCAGCTGGTCCTCTATCAGATCAGCCCTCAGGTCTAAGGGCCATTTTACAAGAACTGGGGACATGTAGCGGGCTCAATGATGTCATAAGGCTCAATCCACCAAGTCCTCCACTGGGACAACTCTATAGGACTGAGGATCTGGTGTCTTCAACAAGGAAAACTATCCACAAAGGAGGGGGGAAGAGATTAAAAGAAACTCAGCCTACCAACCTAGTTTTGATCTTAACTCAAATCAATGGGCCCTAAAAAGACGCTTTTGAGGAAAATGAGAAAATTCGAGCAGGGACTGTGCATTAAACGATATTAATGTCTCTAAGAGACAAGGATATTGAAGTTATTTTGAGAAATGTTCTAATATGTGAGGGATACATTCTGAAATGTTTATGGGTGGAATATGTCTGGAATTTTTGTTACAAAGAGGCCTGAGGGGAGGCGTGAAATAAGGCAGGAAAAGTGAGGGCAGGGCTGGGGATCAGCATGTGGGAACTCATTATGACATCATCCCCTTGTATGTGCATTTGAAACTTTCCACAATAAAAGGAACATTAAATAAAAACAGAGCATCTATAGACATTCCATTTGGCTGCTGAAGGCCTTCCATGCCCTCCCCTTCCTCCCTGCCCAGCTCCCTCCTCCTTGCCCCACATTCAGGCCCAGAGAACATCTGTTTTGCAGGGCACAGCTGTCCTGGCATCCAGTGCCAGAGAGGCAGGCTCACTGGGACTGGCCTACTGCTTTGCATTTGGACCGTTGCCTGGTCTCCCTGAGGCTCACCCTGATTTCTTTTGGTGCTCAACACTGAACCCAGCTGGTTTATAACTCAGTGTCACTTTCCCTGGGCACAGCCTGTCCCTATTCTGTTCTCCCCTCTCCACTCATCCACCAACACATTTTTACTGCTCCTTCCTAGGGGTGGTGGCGGCGGATGGAATCTGCATTAGATGCTGCTCAGGGGAACCAGGTGTAAATCCTGCTCAGATCCCAGAGGGGATGACATATGCTGAGAACATAGCATAGCACATATTCAGTGATAACATGCAGGTGTGGTGGAGTGGGGAAGGGGTAGCTAGCAGGAACCCAGACACCTGATATGGGAGGTGGTGTTGGACTAGGTCTTGAGCCAAGGAGAGCTCTGAAGGAGCAGGGTGCATCACTCAGACAGGGGTGGGGAGGCTCCCGGGAAGCGGCAAGCATCAGCCAGGCACGATCACTCCTGGTCTCACCTGTTAATTTCATCCAGGAGAAGCCTAGCATTGTAACAGAAAGGGTGGGTGCTCCCCCCCATCTGCCCTCCACATGCTGAGTGACTCTCAGTATCCCTCAGCAGAGACTCTGATCCATGCAGCTCTGTGTCTCACAATGTG